TTTTGAGGGCTGGAGGCCGTAGGGTCCGCAATCTTAGGGGCTCTACAGTGCTTGCAAAGAGGGCGCGCGTTGCTTCGGAAGCACTTTGAGGGTCCGCGGGGGGCCCGCGAGCTGTTTGGGAGTGCTCCGTCGCGCTCCGGAGCTGTTTGGGAACGACGCGCGCTTGCGCGCGCGAGTCTGTTCGCGGGGGGGAGCTTCGGAGCTGTTTGGCAGTAGCTCCTGAGCTGCTGGGCTGCAGCTCTTGAGTAGCTCGTGGGCTGCTGGGTTGCAGCTCTTGAGTAGCTCGCGGGCTGCTGGGCTGCAGCTCTTAAGTAGCTCGTAGGCTGCTGGGCTGCAGCTTCTAATTAGCTCGAGGGCTGCAGCTCTTAAGTAGCTCGTCGGCTGCTGGCTCTTAAATAGCTCGAGGGCTGCTGGCAAGTAGCTCGTAGGCTGCTGGCAAGTGCCGCGCCCCCTAAAGCTCCTCTAAATCCTGTTTTGCAAACACTTTAGAGCCCCTACGATCGCTAGAGCTCCGGGCCGTAGGCCCGCGAATCGACAGTGCTCCGAAGTACCGAATTCTGACCTATGTCTTGAAGCGAGGCTTGTAGCTACCACAGAGTGGAGAGTTGGAACATCCTCCCTAGAGAGAGTCTAGACGCAGCAAATCTCTAGTAACTTTTCTACTACCGCTTGCCCTCGTTCAGAATCTCATGCGGCACGGACGCATACAAGCGCATCCTCTTTCTCCAAAGGAGGTTTGGACTGGGGACTTGCAGCACACCCTTGAAAGCATGGATACTGGCGAATCATGAGCATTTGATGAGCATCAGCTACCCGCTCAAGGGACAGATGAGCGTTCTGAGCATCAGCTGAGACTTGGCGCATCCGCGCTGATTGGGTTCGACTTACATCAAAACCGCGCTCCCGCTCATCCTAAGATGCGTCACGATCTCAGAGTGTTTCCGAGTCTGAATGAATGATCTTCACAAAGCTTTGTAAGTCTTACCCATGCCTTTTAAATTGACAGCATTCACCCACACAGAGACAAACGCAATCCTCAGCAAAGACCACAACCATTCAGATGCTCCTTGAATTGACTTCGCTGCACGCCCTGATTCACAACCATGCCCTGCCGTGCGTGGGTTTCACTCCAGGCTTGCACATGGGTGAGAACGAGCCCCTCTCTGACAACTTCAGGATGCCCAGAAGCAAGAAAGTCACGGTAAGCACTGCAAACACGACCCAGGCAGATTAGTTTTCGACTCAGTGCGCGTCTTCGGAATCTGCACGACCTGTAAAAACATTGTCAAACAACTTTTGTGGACCCGCCATGGCCCTAATGCGTCGTAATCGCTTCTGTCCGGGAATTTCTGAGGACCTCCTGTCATGAGAAACGTGAGAGTGAAACTGGGTTGGGTAGTGTTTCTGGTCACGGAGACTGTGGATAGCATGCTTCCACCTCGGGCCACCTAAAAGCTTCTACGAAGACACACTCGCCGTCGTTGACGAAATTCGAATTCTTCCGGGTCTGGGCTGCAGGCGATCACCTCTTGGCAGCCAACTTGGTTGTGTATCGGAAGCATCCACTTTTTACCAGTTGGTAGTGTTCTTTAGGAGCCATCCGGCCCTTGGTGAAGAGGAAGACTGCCGCGCCCTCCGGCTTCGAAGACGATGGCCTCGGGCTGCAGAATCCCTTCTAGCTGGTTCGTACCAGGTGCCCCCAATTGTGGCTCTTCTCGATGCCGGGGCTCCCAACAGGCCACGCGCTCGATGCCGCCCTTCAGCTTGAAGGTGCCTTCCAGGCCCTGCGCGTCGTGTTGCGCGTCAACAATTTTGGTCCGCCGTGGGGCTTTGCGGGCAAGAACTTCGTGAGGTTGAAGACCTGCATGCCTGCAAGCAGACAAAAGAGAATTTCATCGTTGCATCTTCTTCATTGTCATGTTTACCAGCATCCCACAAAGTATCTTCAGCATCATTTTCATCATATCCAGCACTGCTTCTACCATCAACCCAATCGACACATCAATTTCGTTGTCATGGCATCAATCTTCGTCATGTTCAATCACTTCGTGTGCATTTGAGTTGTTGCATTTGTTTCGGAGTGATCTTTTTGAGACGTCGTGGTGAGAGGAAAGTTTGGAAAATGCAAACAACTTTATTTGATTTTGTGTGTCTTGTCAGCCTGTTAGATGTTGGGCAGATTTGCATGGAAGAATGTTTCATTGCAAGTGCTTTGCTTTGTTGAGCTTCAACGACTTTCTTCCAGCTCTGCGTGGGACGAAATTTGTTTTGTGGGGTTTTGTGGGTGTGTGGAATACTTTTCTAAAACTATGAATACTCGGTTTCGAGCTTGGTTGCCTTCATCTTCCGCGTTGCTTGTGAAGCCCGTTTCTTCAATTGTTGCGTCCAGAAAGCATGCCTCGTGGGACTGTCGTAGTTTCGCCTTTTGTCAGAAACCAAGACATGGGGGGCCTCCTGTGTGCCGAAAGGGGCTCTGTAACTCTGTTTAAGGCTTAAGGGGGCTTGAACTCGCCTTGATGATTGGTTCCGTCACCGCTACTGGATGGTGCCCACCACAAATTGCGCTCTGATGAGTTTGAGCTGGAACAGGCAACAAAACGTGGCAAGATGGAGATGGTTGGTGGCAAGGAAATGTAGTTGGGTTTTGTGTTCCTCCAGGACAACAAGTTCGTTTCGGGAGAAGGATCCTGGAGTTATATTCTTGCGAACGACAAGATGCCATTCAATGAATCAGGTGATACAGTAGAGAGGGCGACTCTTGCGTTTCCCCCAATTACCCCATGTAGAGCTTTGCACTGCCGCCGTCTAATCGGCCAGTGGTGCTTCACCTACAAGTACAAGTAGATTGTAGCATGACGTTGTACAGAGCCGCGTTTAGTTGGCCATAAACCTGCACGGTCAAGCTGACATGCATGCAACATGATTTGGCCGGCCGTAGAAGAAAGTGTTACAAATACAAGCAGAAATAGTAGTTGCAGCATGCATTTCCACTCCGACGAATTGGAAGTCGTTTATGAGCAGTAGCGGGCGGGTTTCGCGCACGGCAGACGAGATTGGTTGCAGATCACGGCATGGGCGACATTGCTTTCCCGGAACAGATGTTTTTGTGTTGAGATCTAGGCCTAGCTAGTCGGAAGAGCAAGGTTTTCTGGTGCCTTCTGATGCAGTCCAATACTCGTGGAAACAAGATCTGTGCACATTTTGGTGGTAGCCTTGGGGTTCCAGGCTGTCCCGTGCGCATCCGAGTTTTGCAATGACCTTCCACGAGAGTCTGCATTGCATGACATAAGATGGGCACAGCATCTCAAGCGCGTTGTTGGTAAGATGACTCCATCGCAAAGTCACTTACATGCATTGCGGGCACCTTTTAACGTGTGTGTGCTGCCGCAGTTTCTGGTCCAACAGGGTTAAACACGAGCAGCATGCGGAGCGCCTGATGTCGAACAATTGTTGGGTCCCGGCAGATTACACTGAAGCTTGTTCAAGTATATGAATGTATGGTCCTTCAAACCCAACACGCGCACACGAGCACACTCAACGCAAGCCAATTCGATCCAACACATACACACACACACAGATATGCTAACAAAACGCACGAAATGCAACAGTTCCCGTGTCTGGTGAGCACATGCCCATGGACTGTCGACTTGAGCAGCTGATCAACCACCCCCTGCAGATGGTCGGCCTCCCAACTCCGTTACATGCAACATGCTTGTGGAGCATTCGCTCGGTGTGAGGTTGTCTTCTTAGTCTCCTATGGCCAGTGCTGAGTCCGACACTGAAGCAAGATGTGTGAAGTGGGTGACGCTCTCCGCCATCTGTTCGTGTGAACAAGGTACAAGCACTCGATCTTATGGCGGGGAGAGGAGGGCTTGTTGAAAAATCTCGGGGATGTGGCCTTTTTCTGAGCCTGTGCCATGTGCAGTGGGTGTACATGGTTCAGGACCCAACCAAGACCCGCTTCAAGCCGACCTATGACGGCACAAAGCGAGTCGAGAGGCACCTTTAATGCCTTCCACCTTCTCTGGATCTTCCGTTCCTGGGCTCCTTCTCCTTCTCTCAAAGGTACCGGCCTGGACAAGTGCCCGTTTGGGTCGAAGAAGGCAAGAAGGCACCACGTTGGAGTCCAAGAGTTCACCCCTTCGCGGGGAAGAGGAGCTCCATCTCTTGCTGAAGGTCAGCTGATTTTGCAGCAAGTTTCTAAGGTAAGGGACGTGAGCCAGAAAAAGAGAAGCCAGAAGAGGATCTGCGAAAGGATCGTTTGGGGCATCTTGAAATCCGGCTGTGAGTCGATCTTGGCAGGCCAAGAGGCGGCGGCAAGCAGCCGCCGTGGTTTTGGAGGTGCGGTGGTCCACCCATGTCCACCCTTCAGCAAATCGATGACCTGTCTCATACCTGCCTGGACCAGGCCTCGGACAGTGCCAGCAGCCGCCTGGCTCGTTTGCAGCGGTCTGAGACCGCCAGAAGCTCAGTTGTGGTAGCTGTAAGTGTGAGCTTCAACTGAATCCATGGTTCGTGTTTCCCCAGGTAGGGGAAGCAGGGGAGCCCAGCGCAGCCAGGCCAGGACAGGCGTGAAAGAAGGTCTCGAAAGAGAATCATAGCTTTGCAGGCTGCCGCGACAGCGACGGGTGGAGGAAGCAGTCATTCTGGAGGTTCCATGGTTGCCCTTGACTTTCACAGGGTTGGAGTCGGTGGACCAAGGAAAAGGATGAGAAGAAGGATGTGTGTCTCCCAGAGAGACATTGCCAGCACCTGATTCGGGAACCGGCTTGGCAGAAAGGAGAAGTTGGAGCTTCTCAAAGAGGAGGTGGATGTTGATCTCAAGCCTGGAGTGGCTGAGGCACGATCAGCATAGAGCATGAGTGATACGTCGGATACCTATAATCGGAGTTCAGGGCACCATGCCTCTCCTTGAACATGCTTCGTTGAAAGTTGAACTACGACGAGATCGTCGGATCGGGCGACGAAGATGTTGAAATACAAGCCGTTCGTCCGGCCCCGAGACCGGCGAAGCTTCGATCAAACTTCGGGTGTGCTTTCTTCCGTGGTGAGGTCGTGAGAAGGCTCGAGAGCTGGCCTTATCCAAGCGGAAGATTGAAGAGGACGTTCTGAAGGCACTTGGGGTCGCTGCAAGAGAAGCTGAAATCGTGCATGACCTTGCAAAGGCTGAGCTGGAGGAGGAGCAGGAGGTGGGTCTGTTTGAGCTGCAACAGGCTGGGATTCAGGGCCTGCTTTTGTTTTGTCCGGCCAGGAAGTGGATGAGGAGGAGAGTGAATATGAGTCTGAATCAGAAGAGAATGACGATAGGCCCTGATCGCTTCAGAAAATTGCCAAGTCTGCGTAAGTCATCTCCCACGTTCTGCTCAGGCGCGGTCCACTCATGAAGCCAGTCTTCGTGTCAAAGGCAGCCTCGAGTCTGAGTCTTGCCGAGTCAGCCAGCTTGGATCAGTGTGGAGGCCAATCGAGAAACTGTTCGAGAGAAGGCCAGGCGAGCTCATCGTAAGGCTGTTCATCGAAGGCTGTCAGGATGTGCCTGGACCCGAAAATTTCCAGCCTTCGTCGCACAGGAGCAAATTGAAAAGGAGGAAGAAGAAGCCCGAAGAAAGAAAGAAGTCCGACAACTCGAACGCAAGGCAAACTTGTTCAACTTGTGCAAGGGAAGCCATTTGGGAGTCCACTTTTTGCTTGAAACAAGCCTTTGTGAGTTTTATCTCGTGTGCTGCCTCTGAGGGTATACGACTTTGAGTCTTGACTTGCCTGGAGGCTGAGTCAAAGGTATTGCTCATCGACAGGATCAATGAAGAAGCTGAGGCTTGTGCGCTTCCACCTTGCGAGTTGGACGGGCACTGAGTGCAGTGTCGCTAAGGCTGCGAGGTTGGCAGAGGAGCTGGACGACAGATCTGACATAGAGTTGATGGATGATGACGATGAGAAGAATGAGGCTGAAGAGTTTGTGCCTCAGAGGTGGCAGCAAGGAAAGTAAGATATATCCGCGTTGCAAGAGAGAATGAAACAGCTTCGGATTTCTGTCTGTTCTGATGTGGATTGTTGCTAGTTGAGACAGTGCGGAGATAGGGCCACACGGTTCGAACTTCGGATGGCTCGCAGATGTTTTCACTCATGGATGGGATGACAGACAACCGCGCCCAAGTCTTGATGCTGCTGTCGAAGTGTTTTCCAACGTTTCTTTCTTGCTACCCGCGATCCCAGATACCCTTACCTGGCCATACGAGCAATGCTGGGCTTGTTCGAAATCACAGTCCCTGTTTGGAGTTTCCTGCTTTAATTGACGGGACATAGCATGTTTTCAGTTTTGTCAGAGAGTTCGTGTTGCTTGTGTGGATGCTGTGCAGGGTCTTGGCAAGGGTTTCAAGGGCCAAAGACTTCTGTGCCAAACATTTTGTTGGTCGTTGTGGTTGTTCTGTGTTGCTTGTTGTAGTTCTCACTTGTTGCCTGTAGATGTTGGTTGTTGCTTGTCGTTGGTGCTTTTTTAATTTTGTTGGTTCGGCTCCTTGCTCCACAATACTTAAATCCGTTTGGCCCACCAGGACAGCGTCAAAAACTCAGCAAAACTGCACCATTAGTACTCCCCGAGCAGCGTTGCAAAATGTGGTCAAGTGACGGCAGCTTGACATCAGTGTTCAGCAATAGAGGCGCTCTTTCTGAGGTATGAGCTGTGGAAGATTCGAGAACTGAAGCGAATCAAGAGAGACAAGGAGGCCGGGACGTCGCTGGAGCTCAGGAAATTTCGACGTCCGTGACGGCTGTAGTTTTTTTCACCTGAGCCTTCATAAGTGCAGGAGAAGCTTAAGAGACAAGAAGAAATTGCGTTTGTTCTTCGGCGCTGCTCTGAGACCCTTCCAGGGATGAGCTGAGGTGAGCTTTGTCATGATGTTGCCTCTGCCCGCCTCTAGGCGACGCGAGATGACGGACGAAGAACGTGCGAGAGATGATGCCAAGTGCGGTTTGCAGATCGTCGTTTGTTTGGCGTGATTCTGTGTGGCAGCTTCAGAGTTTAGGCTGGATGCTGCTAACCCGAAGAGAGCAGACGTCAAGCAGTTCAACTTCCTACAGAGACTCGAACGCGAATTCTCAGCTGTGCACACGTGGGCTTACTGCCTTGGTGGTGTCTTCTCGCGACTGGCATGTCATCATTCGCCCAGGAAGTACTACCACCGCGGCGGCTTCTTCCAGGTGTTCCGCTGCTTGTGACACTCGTTGGAGCAGCTGTCCATGTCCATGTCAGGACAAAGCTGTCTCAGGAGAGGAAGCGCCTGGTTCCTAGCGGCTTGGCTGTGTATTGGCTTGGAACTGTGACATTTCTCTGAGGCTGTACCTGCGCGACTACCACGAGCCACTCGAGGAGGAAAAGTGCGCCGGAGCTCCCTACACCTCTGTTGTCCCTTCGCAATTTTGATTGTTCACGCTGCAGGTACGACAAGCAACTTTTGCCGAAGGCCATGCAATTGAGACGTGGTGAGTTTGGCAAGAAGGGCCAGGTGGCTGGCTTGATGATAGCCATCATGGGCTGGTCTTTGTGCTCAAGATCTGGATTTTGTGCCCAGGTCAAGCACTCCCACCTGACCGACGTTGACACAACGGACATGTCAGCTGCCTGGGCGCAAAGCTCCAAAATTGTTCAGAGGCGCCAGCCGGAGTGCGAGAAGCTTGAAATCCTGCCCATGTGTGCATTCTTCCCGGCAGGTACCAGGAAAAAATGGCGGCTGCAAAAGGGGTGGGAAACTTCGAACGTCCATCCTTGAAGAAGTAGGTGTGGGCCCGACGCCACTGTTGCCAGCTGCATCCGTGCTTGTGACGTGACAGAAGGCGGTGCTCCACCACTAGAGACATCGAAGCAGCCCACCCAGGGTTTCGACAGCGTCAGCTTTATCCCCTTAAGGGGCCATGCATCGGGTCAAAAACAGCTCTGGCGCGTGCCTGCATCGTTTTAAAATGCTTTTACACGTTGCACCGATGTGCTTGCCTCTCTGACGGCCCGGGTTTCGAGACATCGAACGCAGGCATTTGCATGTCAAGCCAGCTGGCATGATGTGAGTGCCTGCCAGGCGGGCACAGCTCTGCTTTCGCTTCACCAGAACGGGTTTGCATTCAAGCATCGTGGTGAGTGAGTGTTGCTTTAACGCTTTCCCTTTCTGGCCGAAACCACCGCGACTGCCAGTCAGATAGTGCACTGGACTTGGGGCAAAAGCGAGCAGACTCAAAGACAAGGGCTTTCCTTAACAGAGGTGAATGCAGATTTGTCGGCAGGTTGGCTACTTGCAAATGGCCCCACCGAACCGATCAATCAGTGGGTGGCTGAGCTTTCGCTGAAGTCGCATGGTTCCTGTTTTTGCTGCTCTCCTTTCAGGTCTCTCCATCATCAGTCTGCTGCCTGGCTCTCAGTGGGCCGTGTTTGCGGTGGTTCAGATACTCCGAAGGGCTGACTGCTGCTTGCTGAGCCTACTGCTCATTGTGGTACCTCTGGCATGAGCGTGCGAAGCACTGCAGCCTGGCATAGTTCGCACACCTGCACCGCATGCGTCACTGAAGCCGCGTAAGACCCGTTCCGTGGCCGAGGACTTGTGGTGCCTCGAGATCTTATGCAGCTGCCTTACGGCCTTTTGTGGTTAGGATTCAGGAGAGAGTGCCGCAGTATACCGGTGATTGCACGTTGACATAGGATCTGACCGTGCAGCAGAGCTGCCAGGATGATTCAGATGCCTTGAGCCTTTTCTTCTGTTCGGTGCTCCAGCTAGTGCCTGCAGGATGCTGATGTGATAGAAGGCTCGTGCAGCGAGGCCACGGTACTCGTTGATGTTGTTGGCGGAGTGTTCAACTGAACGAGGCTTCCTTCTTGCAGCACGGCCTCGAGGTCCAACAGGTGCCGCAGGTGCCAAGGCATGCTATCGGAAAGCATCACTGCCAGCCAGGTTCTCGATGCTGCCAAAAGTCATGCTGCCATGCAGCCGGTCCTTCGCCAAGGGGAGCCCTGGATGTTCCGGGTCTAGGGCGCCTCTAATGTTTTTTGGACATATCGCCAGCTTAAGCTCATGCTCTACTCGCCTGCTGCTTTCGGATGTGATGGTGCAGCCGTGCTGTAGGCACCATGTGACATGATCGAAATGCGTTTGTTCTGAGGCGACGTCATCCGATGTTGCAGCGAACATTTCCAACGTTTCCAGTTTGACGGCGCATGCATCCAATGCGACGGCAGTACAGCCAGCTTTGCAAAAAGAGCAGCAGGACAAGGACAGAGCAGTCACAAAGTGACACAAAAACACACAAGCCTTAGGTACGACAAGCATGTAGAAGCGAGGAGCCTGCGGTTCTGCTGAACCAGCTCGTGGCAGCATCCCTTGCAAGGGAGCACCTTGGCCTGCAAAGCAGCGGCAGGCACACTCGAGAACAACGGTTGACGGTTGTCGTTGCTGAGAGGTCTCTCTCTCTCTCTCTCTCTCTCTCTCTCTCTCTCTCTCTCTCTACTGACATATATGTCTATGCACATGTACATGTATGTATAAAAGGCCTATGTATTGTTCGGCAGATGTGTGTATGTATGTATGTATGTATGTATGTATGTACGTATGTGTGTGTTTCAATCTTCAACCCGACAGCCCTACTGAATTCAGTAGGCCTATTGAACTCAACAAACATCACGGGTGGATGAAACTTCAAAACTCGGGATGCGCATGCACAGGCATGTACTCTCTAGCATCTGTAGTATTGTTGTAGTTCTGCACTAAGATTCTTCAAAAATTGTATGCCCACCGAAGGCTGTAAGGTATTAGAAATCAATACCGCTGGACTGTACAAGTATTTTGTAGGCAACGGGCAATGGGCCAATTCGGTCATTTCCACTCAAAAAGCGGAGATAACCCACGGGGGGTAGCATATGCATATATATGTATATACATATATATATATACATACACACATGTGTGTGTGTGTATATATATATATGTATACATACATACATGCATACATACATAGGCACGTGTTTGTACATGCGCATGTTAGTGTACGGGCTTATCTGGTGTCTGCATGCATGTGCCTATTCACGTAATAGTGTATAGCATGAAACCGTGTGCCGAGAATGGTCAGATCGGCAGAGCAGGAGTTCAGGGAGTTCATCGATCGTTTCGACAGTGGTCAACTTGGTGGTGGCATGCTCAGAGTTGACACTGCGCCAGGTTATCAAAAATGTGGTTCACTTGTGTGTACACCGGTCCTCTCGAGGTCTTGGTGATGCTGGTGCTTCTCATCGTCGCCTGGCAAAAATTGCAGAACGAGCCCAAGCCAAATCCCATTTGCTCTCAGGCCTTGCTTTGCCGGCACGACATGAACGTGCAAGAGGCATACGAGGAGGCCTGGCTTCGAGCCTTGCGAAGCGAAGACGGTCCGAGGGCGGAGAGCATCCAGACTTGGTGCAGATCCCCTCCCCCAGCACACAGCTCCGTTCGTGATAAATCAGTGGTGGAGCGTGAACCCCTTCAAAGGTTAAGAGGTGTCAAGAGAGTTTCGTTGGTGCTCGCAGTCGGTGCCCGTGGCGAAAGGTTGCCCAGCACGCAGCTCCCGCTGTAGCGCGGAATATATTTTTCGCTCATGTCCTATATTGTTTACACAGGACCTGCTGGAAGCCGTCTCCTCGACAACCAGGTTCATTGTAAATTCCAATTCATGGTCCAATGTCCGCCAGCATTTGGGGCAAAGCATTTTTGGCGATCTTCCTGAATCCCAGCAGTACTTATCCTCATAAGTTTCGCCAGTGCTTAGAGAGTTTTCGCCGCCTGAATTCTGCCAGTGCTGGGGGGAAAGCATGGTGGGCGTGATCCTGAATCCTGCTCCCGAATCCCACCAGTACTTGGGGAAGCAGTTTGGCCGTCTCTCACTTGTGGTCTCCTGGTGGTCTCTGCCTCGTGGTCTCGGGTTGTTGTCGTCGTCCCGTCGTCGTGGCGGTCCTGGTGGTCCAACTGGTCGTGGGCGTCATTGTCGTCATGGTCGTCGTGGTTTTCTTTCGGGCATCTACGCTACGAGGCCTTCCTCCGAACCTTTCGTCTGCTTTCGTCTGAACCGATGTCCCGTGCCGACGGTCGTGAGTGCTTTCATGAGTCGCAAGAATTTTTTGGGGCTTGCGTTCGACCCACGACCCTGTCTCTTCATGAGTTGAAGCTCGAGCTCCTCTTCAAGTTGTTTCGGGTGTGACATGCAGGTCAAGGGTGACCCGCAAATGCTGTACAAGCAATTCGAGCAGGTGCAAAGTCTGCTCCAGCACTGCGACAGCAGCTTTGCAAATAGCACCCTTCCAGGACGTATCCCCGCGAGCGAGATGCACGCAGGAAAGACGTTGTGCTGCGACGGTGCAAGACAAGATGACTCTATGCTTCCGTGCAGGCTTGCTGCTGAGCTAGAGAGCTGGGAGAACCACTCCCAGGCGGCAGCTCATCGCAGGATGAGTGGCTGAGACCACTCCAAGAGCAGATTGGAAAAATTGGTCGTGGGCTGTCGTGCGATGTTCAAGTCAAGTCATATTGCAAACATGTGGAAGAAGCTGATTACTCTGCCAGGTCTGCCTCCTCCTTGCTATCTCCGCCAAGCATTACTCGTTGTGCACAGCCTCTCCAGCCTCATGCAAATCGGTTTCGTACAGCTCTAAGCATAGTGCAGCTGCTGATCTCATGGTCCGGTTAATTGCGGCGCATGGCGTCGTAGCTGCAAGATGAAGGATGTAACTTGGCCTGAGATGTGACAGTCGTGCAGAGTCTTGCTTGTTACCTCGCTGTGCAACAGCCAACCAGGTGGCGAACTTCCTTCGTCAACTGTCAGGAGATCGTCTGTTTTATCCCTTGCCAGTCAAACCCTCTAATTCTGAGGCTCAGGTCCTCAACGGAATGAGAGCTTTGTCGGCTCGTGATGCTAGACCGCTAGTCTTTGCGAGACAGGGTTTCTGGGGTAGTGCCACAGTGCTACTGGTCTCGCTGCGTGCGTAGGATGCGAGCTCCATCGCAAATCCCTATCTTTCAGAAAAGTGCGATGCCCAGTCGGTATCTGCAATCCCGAATGCAGACAAGAATCCCACTGCAGGTATCGTGCACTCAACTACCTCCGGAAAATGGAGCCCGAGGAGCTTGAGATGTTGCCGGGAACCCAATTCCTAGAGAACTCCAATCACAGAGCTCCCGTGGTCCCTGCATTGCTCTTCAGGCGCAACACAACCCTCGGCACTCGAGTGGTCGAAGGCTGCACCTTGCGGGCAGCAATAAGCGGCGCCAGGCTCGCAGAGACTTTCAGAAAGTCCAGCGTGACCTTTCACATTGGTGCACGACTTTGATGGCCGAGGTCGGTGGAGCTGGCCTGGGTCTCCTTATGGGAGGCCTGATGATGCAAGACATTGAGGTTAAGGATGCTGTAGTGTGGCCATGCGGCGCGCCAGTCACCAGGCTTCCTGCACACAATGCAGCCGCCACCCAACATTGATACGTCAAAAGCTTATTCACAGATTCACTCAACTGCTTTGCTGCAGCAGTGTCGCTGTGACGTGCCCATCAAGGTCCTTGTCAACGATGGAGCAGATTCGGCAGTCCTACAAGGGTTTCGGTCGTGTGCTCGGACAGAAAAAGCTTTTCTTGACGGCATGTGATCTTGAGGGAACGTCGCCAGGGCCAGCGAGACAAAATTTGTCACCCTCATGTCCAACATGGAGCATTTCACAGACCAGAGAGTCACGTTTTCCCAAGCAGTCCAGCAGCTGCCAGCATCCCAAGGTCAAGCCTGTGTTCGCATGTCTCGCAACTTTGCAAAGGCCTTGCGGGTTCATTTCACAAAAGGAGCGAGATGCGGTAGTGCCTGTAGCGAGTAAACGAGCTGCACAGGTGGGTGTCGTTTTTGCTGGAGTTGAATGCTTCTTCGAGCGCCACCGACCCGATCGTCGTGGAAACTTGCAGCCGGGCACAAGCAGCACAACTGAGCTCTTAGGTGAACGAGCATGCAGAGATCTGTGCCTGGCCCAGAACGCTTGCGAATAGATCTGGAGAGGCTTGCACAGTCCACAGGCCGAATGCCATCCTTTCTGGCTGCGTGACCGGGGGCGTGCTGGCCTTTCAAGCCACGGACCCAAGCCAGTCTCTTGGCGCCAAAATACGCCGGTTTCTGCCGCTTGCAAGGGTGGGCCAACTGGCATGGCTCTGGGCTGTGCTGGTTTTGCTGCCTTTTCTGGGGTGCGCAGCCTGGGTGGCCGAACCATGTGCAGCTGAACATCCGAGCATGTCCAGCGCCTCAGGTCATAGAGACCCTGATGGATCATTGAGTTCCTGTAGTGTTAATGCATCCTGGGTGAACCGGGACGTCGCAATCCGTTCGGCAAGCAAAAAGTCTCAGCAAGCACGGCCCACCGACCCGCAACGGCATCAATGATGGTAAACATGCAGGGGCTGCAGCTTGCAAGAGTGTACTCGCCGCATTCGCCAATCCGTTCCGAAAAGTAGCTTTCTCGTGTGTACAGCTCAATGTAGCCAACATCTCTTCAACTAGCGATGGGCTTGGCGATGGATCCTCTGGAGCCGGGGCAGAGGCCGCTTACAATAGAAAGCGTTCGCGGCACTTGCAGGGTTTGGTCATCCCCCAGTACTTTTGCACACACAGGACCTGTGAAAGTAGTTGGAGGTTCAATGATCTAAAAATGCCGAGAAGAACCCGGCAAAACCAAGTCATCAACATCACCTTATCGAAGCACTCCCTTTGCAATTTTTTTTTGAAGCGCCTGCCCAAGCTCGTGACCCTCTGTCCTGTGCACTTAGAGCCTCAGCCTCACTCACAAGAAACCCACCAGTAGCTTCTCAGAACTGCCACCGTGAAGGAGCTTCGAGTATCCTGGAGCCAAAGTACATCCGGCTAACCTCAGGTCTGGTGAGCCAAATCGTGTTTCAACTACACGTTTCACGGCCTTGACGTGGATCCCGAAGTCACTGTTCCTGCAGTTCCAACGGGCTGCGAACCTCTACTTCCTGTTCATTGCAATCATCGTGTGCATGCCCTTTTCTCCCAAGAGGTGGCAGAGCAAAGTGGTACCCTATGTGCTGGTATTGACTTGGACAGCATTGAAGGATTCCTGGATCAGTTGATCGGATGTCAGTATTTTTCAGCGTCGTTGGACTAGCTTTCAATTTTTGATGCCTTTTTGCTGTTTGCTATGTGTCACCCTACTCCATTCCGTCATGCTTTCTCCTTGTCAGGACTTGTTTGAAGACTCGCGCCGTCGCAGAGATGATAAGATTGAAAACAGCAGGAAGTGCTGGATCTACGACATGCAGGAAAGAAACTTCGTACAGATGCCTTGGAGTGGGATAAAACCCGGAGACATCATCTGTACGCTGTGCGACGAAGCTTTTCCTGCAGATCTTCTCGTTGTTTGTGCTGTTGGACGGGAGGGAGCCTTCATCTCGACCGTGAATCTTGATGGAGAAACAAACCTCAAGTTGCGGTCACCGCCTCCGGTTTTCCAGTCGCTTATCGATACCGAGTGCTCCGAGCACAGCCAGGAAGTTGTTCGACCGCCGCTTCCTGTGTCTGATATTGTGTCGCGCCTTTTTGAAACTCCCCTCTACGTGCGATTAGCCACACCATCTGCTGACCTGTCCGATATGCATGCAGCCATCGAGTTTGGAAGAGAGCAGCGGTGTGCTGCAAATTGTACCAACTTCGTGCCTCGTGGATGCGTTCTACGCAACACCTCGTGGATGCTGGCAATCGTGGCTTATGCAGACAAAGATACCAAAGCTCGTCTGAATTCTGCTACGGTGGCTGGCAAGGTTTCCAGCCTACAGGGGGCTTTGAACTACTGTGTCTATGGCCTGTTGGCCTCGCTTTTTGTCACGTGCATCTACTTGGCAACTCTTGCCACTGTGGCAGAGCCTGGCACGGGCTGGACTGTGCGCTTTCTGACATATACCATCACGCTGTATCACGTGGTCCCTATTTCGCTTTACGTGTCTTTCGAGATTCTGAAGCTGGTTCTGGGAGGCTTCATCGATTTCGACCGCCAGATGGTGGATGAAGCCACAGGGCAGGGAGCCAAGGGCAAGAACAGCCGATTTGGTAGAGGAGATGGGCCAGGTTGACTTCATTTTCTCGGACAAAACTGGAACGTTGACAGCAAACGAAATGCGTTTCGCAGAATGTGCCGTTGGCCGCTTGGTTTTCAGTTCTTTTCTGCAAGATCCGCTTGGTGGCCCGGTGGGCGGAGTCCAGGAGGTGTGTGAAATTTTGAGCCAGCCGGCTCATCCGCAACATGAGGCAGTTCTCTGGTTCTTTACCTGTCTGTCCGTTTGTCACACTGTGCAAGCAGAAGAAAAAGACGGGAGCGTGCAGTACTCTGGGCCCTCGCCTGATGAAGTCGCCTTGGTAAAGGGAGCCTGCAAAGCAGGGATCGTCTTCAAGGCCCGCAGGGTCGACAAAGATCAGCAGCGTGCAGAGGTCATCGTTTCTGGAGCACCTGGCAGACCAGATCGCACATTCTCGATTCTGAGTGTTATTGAGTTCACCGCAGAGCGCAAACGAATGTCAGTTATTTGTGAAGTCGATGGACAGATTCACTGCATTACCAAGGGTGCGGACATTGTCATGAGTCCATTGCTCGTGTCACCCCTGGCACAAACAGAGGAGCAGCAGCTGCTCAGCTTCTCGCAGAAGGGTCTTCGAACTCTTGTGGTGGCCTCCGTGCAGGTCGATGCTTTGGCTTTTGCCAGCTGGCAAAGCAACTGGCTGGCTGCCATGATGTCGATGGATCGTAGGATGCAGCTAATGGACGAATGTGCTGCAGCAATCGAACGAAATCTCGAGTTGATTGGCATCACGGCGGTGGAAGACAGGCTTCAAGACGGTGTCCCTGAGACTGTCGCCAAGGTAAAGAGTGCGGGCATCCGTTTGTGGGTGCTTACAGGAGACAAAACGGAAACAGCTGTAGACATCGCATACTCCTGCAACTTGTTCACTGATAAAGACACTCTGGCTTTTGTGACCGGTTCTTCGAGTAGCTCTGCTGCTTCCGAGAGCCTCCGTAATGCGCAGAAAGTGTTGGAAGGGACAGAAGGCGGTGGCATAGTACTAGACGGCCAGTCCATCAAATTCATCCTGGAAGACTCAGTTGCCGCGGATCAGCTCTTCGAGCTGGGGCTCAGGAGCAGGTCGTGCGTCTGCTCGAGGCTGTCGCCGTCCCAGAAGAGGAAGCTTATCGAATTGGTGCGCCTTCGCAGCCCGAAGGCTGTTACTTTGGCAATCGGAGACGGAGCCAACGATGTGCCAATGATTCTGGGAGCTCATGTTGGTATTGGCATTCGGGGCAAAGAGGGCTCGCAGGCAGTGCAGGCGAGCGATGTTGCGATCTCACAGTTCCTCGCCTTGTCTTGCATGGAATGCATATCACGAAAGCTAGCTTTGTGCAAACAAAACCTTGATCACATGGTCCCATCATGGAACCAATGCTTCCTCTGCGATGCTCGAGTGATTCACAGTGCTGCGAGACAATAGACTTCACGAGCCGCCCCACCCTTTCCCTGCTACGCTTCCTTCCCATGCCGACAAGCTTGACTGGCTCACAATGTCATAGTGCGTACATGTTCATTATAGCCTGCCGAAGCATCGGTAGGAGTCGGAGAGCGGTGCCGGAAGTATTTCCACTCCAAGAGAACTTGCAATGCTATGCCTGAAAGCCTAAATTCTGAGGCTCTCATGCCAAACTTCTGGGCAGAGATTTTATGTAGAACGTGTCGGGTATACTGCAGGGAACTGTAGGCTTTCAGCTTGGATTTACGCCGGGTGCACCCGGGCAGGTTGCAGCATGTTGCACACACTTGACTGAGCTTCTGTCCACGGCGGGTTCTTCCAATGACACGACACGAAAAATCATTCCCGTCCGTTTCAGCAGGAGACCAACCTTGCACGGCATGTCTCCACTGTCCCGACCAGCTTGTTATAATCGGATCCTGTCCTTGCATAGAAAATCCAACTCGGATCCTTAGTTGCGTACCTGCATGTGTACCGGACTGACTGTCACGGCCAGTTCGATTTGAGCGAGGATGTGGTATGGAGCTGTTTCGACCGAACCTGAACCTCACCTTGAACCGTGTTACGCAAACAGCTGGAAACAGCAATGTGCCATTACCCAAACTTAACCCTACAGGCCTGGATTTGGTAACCTTGAGACGACGCCAAAGACCTCAACGGCATCGCTAGAGAGAGGGGTTGCATCAGTGAGGTTCATGGTTGAACACAAAGCCAGTGGGTCGTGACACAATCCTTGCACATCCCTTCCTAGTGTGAGGTTCAGACATCTGCTTCCCCTCCTACTTTGTCATGGACGGCGGGCATACAGGCGCATTGCCACGTTTCTGTGCTACTACTTATACAAGAATGTTGCGCTGGCCTGGGGTGATGTTATATGGGCGCACCAGGACAATTTTAGTGGTGACGTCGCCTATCCTGAGTGGCTGTCAACATCCTTCAATGCAATCTTCACGTCATGGCCTGTTCTTGTCGTCCTCGCCTTTGACCAAGATATTCCTGATGTTGCCGCAAACGCAAATCCTCAAATCTATCAGGAAGGTGTCAGGAGAGACTGGTTCAATCGGAAGCTCTTCGGTATGTGGATGGTGGCCGCTGCATGGCACGGTTCTGTGGCCTGGGTTGTGCCAAATCTGTCGTTTGGCAACACTGCGTACGAGACCGTCGACTTCTGGAGAGCCTCGACAACATCGTTCACTATCGTGATAAATGTGATAAGCCTGAAACTGTTCATTCACTCGTTTAGCCGCTCCCGTGCCACGTCTTGGGCCCCTGTCGTTGGGAGCATTCTGGTGTACATCGCAGTATTGTTTCTTCTTGGGTATGTCAGTCTCGGTCGACGAATGCAGCCAAATCTGTCTGATGGCGGAAATCCGCCAGTACCGGGCTGGATCTTCAGCAATGCAGCACCCCTGGTCCAAATTCTGCTCGTTCCAGTGATCGCAGTGTTGCCTGACATTGCATGTCTGACATGGGTTCGGCGGCTAAGCCCGTCACCTCTCTTCCGGGTGGACCGGAAGGTTGTATCGGATAATGAGATACTCATGTAAGTGGGAGGTCGTTTCGCATTGGGCGAAGCCCAACTGAGCACGGTCTTTTCAGATACAAAGCGATCTTTGGCAACAGCTGTACAGGCCTTTCGACCTTTTGTGAAATGGAAGAGTGCAGCATGAGTCTTGCACAAGTTGGGATTTTCTCTGCGCTCTGGAGAGTATGCATTATCTTACAGCAGCTCTAGATCTCCAAGGCACGCTTCTGAAGCAGAGTTATGTGCACGAAAGGACAACTCGAGCCGTGATGTGTGTCCTGTAGAATTCGGTATTTTTCGCTTGGCATGCCGTGCCGGCGCCTCTTCGGAGGATGACAGAAGGCCCGGTGTTCGCCCTGAAGGTTTTTTTTTGCCTTGGGCCATAGCTTGAAGCGCAGGCACGCCAGGCGGCTATCCTGATGGCATGCAAGCAGCGCTTGCGGCCAAGGCTCCAAGTCCAGATCTCCGGTCTTCCAGCCACAAGTTACATCCCTGTTGCAGGGTTATGATCTGCTGGGCACGGACGGTGGAGGTGGTGGAGGCGATGATGGCGAGGAGGAAGACTCGGATGAGGAAGATGTCTTTGGCAGGACCAAGTGCAGGATGCCAAGGATCTTAGCTTGCATTTGGTTGGCTCTAGAGGATCCGAAAGTTGCCGCCAGACGCTGCACGAGAGAAGGGCAAGAAGGCAAGACTCTGGCGCAGTTTGTGTGGGATGTGAGCATGCGATTGCCCGATGATCGGAGTCAGGCTTTCCAGGATGGTGACTACGACAAAGCGATACGATACTGGCAAGGTTCAGAGCTCAGAGCCAACCAAAGCCATCGGCCATGTCAATCCTTGGTGCCAGAACTTGTAGTAGAACCCAGCGAGGTGGACTGAAGTCCATTTTGGGATCGCTGTGCCCGGGCCCAGAGTCTGTCGAGCATTCCCTCCTTCTCTTGTTCTCGGACTCCGAGGCGCCGGGCCTGCAGCCTTGTCGGATCAGCCGAAGCCCCAGAGCGCAGCGCAGGCTGGAGTCTGCGCCTCTGCACTTTGTCTACTCCGAGGTCCTTGTCCGAGCTGGACTTGACGCTGAATTTGAACATCGTCATCTGTCTCAACTAGAAAGACTCTTATTATCACCTGATTTCCTGCCTCGGAGGCCATGGCCTACATGAAAAAGGAGGACTACCATGCTGCAGAGAGGCACAATGTATGTCCACATAGATCTGCAAGTCAGCTGCCGGCAGCGTCAGCTATGTCCCGCCCCGCACACAAGCCAGCTATCTCGACGATGCATCTCCTTGCCCGGCAAATCAGGCCCCCACCGTGATGTCAAAGTTGTCCCGGGGTCCGACACCGTCCATGTCACCACCGGATGAAGATGCACCGCATCGGAGCTCGTAGCCGATGCGTACGTCGGCTTTGCCGCCCCTTCAATCTACAGCAACCCCGGCCCACGTATAGATGCACTCTGCACTGGCCAGGTCCCGACACCCGGTCCCCTTCGCCGGCCCTCGCCCAGCCATCCCCGCGTGCCGAGCACATGGTGCAGGCTACTTTGCTCGGGTGCAGATGGCTCTTGCATCTGCCATTCCAAAGCGGCTTATGCTTCTGTGCAGAAGACTTGATCGTCTAGAGTGCAGGCATCCTCTTGCTGTAACCTGGAGGAATGTCAAGACACCCGATTCACCAGTCAGGTCATTTCTGGGACGGAACGACTGTGTATGGCAGGGTGCGCCAGGGGCTGTCAGTGGGCCTCACCCATCAGCAGCAGTCTCGGCATCTCCTCTTTCTTTGTCGTCGGCCGTTTCCATTAGTGCGGTTTAGCTGCTTTGCTCTTTTGGTACTCCAACCGACCCATTAACCGACCCTGCAGGTTCATCGGGCATACTTGGATCCTGCTAAATAGTGTTGTCGGCCATATTAGGCCATAGGCTCGGTTCAAGTCAGAAACTCGGCTAGATGATACACAGGCCAACTGGCTTAGTGCCTTTGTCGATTTGTGGGTTTCCTAGCACATGTCCTTCCTTGACCAACAAACTGTGTAATCCTTCCGACCTTCGTTGAATTACTGAATATTTTGCAATTGATATTACTTGTTTCCATTTAAAACTTTCTCAGCGTTTGCGCTGTAATACTCTTGTCTTGATTGTTTATTTTATACACATTCTGACATATTTTATTGTCTGTATGCATTCGCTTTTGCTTTTAAAGCATCTAAGTTTTGTTCTCTGTATTTCGTTTTTCTCCTTTATCTAACTAGCATCATCATCACGATACTCTTTTGCCGTCCGTCGAGCTAAATATTCATTTACACAACCATTGTTTTAACACCAACGTGTTGCTTGCCCGCAGATCGGTGGACAAAGCCCTGGCCAGAAGAGAGGCACAGCACGACAGAGGACAGAGGCTTTCTTCTTCGTGAAGTCTGTGTCAGCTCTCCAGGCGCTGCCTGCGCACCTCATCACCAAGGCAAGGCCACCCCGGTCACCCCGGGGGCGGAAGTGTCGGAGCTTCCGGGCTTGTGCAGGCGCTTTACCGCAAAGCGATGGCTCAGCGATCAATGCGCAGGCACGGCAAAGAGGGACAACAATCTACTGTAGCACCACAAACACCATTAGAGAGTCTCATAGCACACATCGCGTACTCAATGCATGGTGCTCAGGCTTGATCAATGCCTCGAAACTCTGGGCGACTTGCTGGAGGCTTCCAGTGCCATGAGACCCTCCTTCAGTCTACGTATCGTCTTTGTTACGGAGGTGGAAGCCGGACATGCTGCTGCCAAGCAGATGCAGCAGGAGGCAGATTCTGCAAGGTCGTTTGCGTTATTCTCCCAATCCTGGTAATCAGGTGGAGCGCGAGTGGGCGAAGCAGTGCCGCGATCAAAAGAAGAACATGAGGCCCCGGAGCATCGACCCACTCAACTTTCCGCTCTTTTCGGGATCATTGGAGAGAAAGGAAACTCTTCGACAAGCTCTCTGGAGAAGACCGAGCCGCAGAGGAGGGTGCCAACGGCAAGCCAGCGGAGCCCGTGCCGGCTCTTCAGTCTCTCTTTTTGATGCTTTTGCCAGCAGGAGATAGAGCGTCAGCAGCGCACGGCTCTTCGTGATCGGCGTGCGACTGAGCGCATCTGAGCATTTTTCGGTGCCTCTTGCCAGCTGGAGGGTGTTCTGAGGTCCGGTGTCCGATGGACGGTGGATGACGTTGACTCGGAGGCTTTCGCCGCTGGCAGCACACCGCCTTCCGATGGCAAGGCCGATGTGCTCGTCTCGTCTCCTCGCGGAGCACACCTCGCTTTGCAGGACTGGGGACTGGCTTTGAGCAGAACTGTGCTCTGGGCCATGGAGCAGCTGGCCCTGGAAGGGCCACGGCCTGAAGACGAGAGTGCTCTCTGCTTTCTGCAGGTCGATTGCATGCGCCGAGTTGACCTCTTGGGGCCCATTTTGCATCGGTGCAGGTGTGCCTGCTGCCCGGAAGGACTTAGCACAGGGCTCGGAAAGCTTCACGGACCAAGCAGTTTCTGTGTGCAGCTCGTTTAGCTCTTGCCTGATTGCATCACTTTGAAACGAAGGTAAAGCAAGCTTCTGGTTCTTGGGTGCGCCATTCTGGCATGTTTGAGCTTCCCACGTGCAGACCAGTTTCCTGCGGCAGTGATCTTCAGGTCGTCCACCTGTGAACTTAGATGGCTGAAGCCGGCAGAAATTCTGAAGCGTGTGACCCAGCTACTCCATCGAACGTCCGCGGCACCAGACTCGAAGCCTTTACGTGGCTTAGGAGGCTTCCAGCTATTCAATGCCTTGCGCTACAAGCTCAGACATGTAAGTGGGGTTGTCTGAACTACTTGAGCGCTCTTCTGTGTTGTTTTGAGGCTTGAACTTATTGGCTTTCTGGGCGAGATAGATCCCGACAATTCCAGGGTACGGAGCCCGGGCAGCTGCTCTGAGCGAGGCAGCAGTTGCAGGAACGATTATCGTATGCAAGCATTCACCTTCAACGCGGGATTCTGCCAGTCTGCGGTGTGGGGCGAACGTTGGGGATAAAGCAGTTCACTTCCAAAAGATGTACATAACTTGAATGGAGCAAAATCATTTTTTTTGTTTTTTTGGATTTCTTTTTTCTGGAGCCGCTTCCCTGAGCTACTACATACTACATACGACATACGACACACTACTTACTACTTACTACTTGCTGCTTACTGCTTGCTGCTTGCTGATTGCTGCTTGCTGCTTCCTGCTTCCTACTTACTACCTACTACTTACTCTACTAACTGCTTACTGCTTACTGCTTACTGCTTGCTGCTTCCTGCTTCCTACTAACTACTAACTACTAACTACTAACTACTATAGCTACTAGCTACTAGCAGCTAGCTACTAGCTACTAGCTACTCGCTACTAGCTACCAGGTACGAGCTACCAGCTAACAGCTACTAGCTACTAGCTCCTAGCTACTAGCTACTAGCCGCTGCTGCTACTACTACTACTACTACTACTACAACTACTACTAGTACTACTACTACTACTACCACCACCACTACCACCAATTCTTCTCTCTGTAGCAGCACTGGAGTCGTCACCGTCGGTATGGAAGTCTGACGTGCGCCATGCTGCAAACTGCGCAACAGCTGAGCCTTAACTTCACAGCGCATAGCATACGCCAATGGCATGGTGACATGCACAAAAGAGTAGCCAAAGCATGGCAACAGGTGGCCACATTCCCGGCATCTCACAGACTGGGCCCACGTTACGTGCGCCACTTCCGAGGGACCCAGTTGACTTCACAGGCTCATACAGCCAGACCCTCACGCACGACGCTGTGAAAGCCGTCCTGCCTCGGCTACTCCAATGGTGCCGAGTGTCCAAACCCTTCCCGGGCATGCTGTACATGTCATTTGGACCCACATCTTTGCCTGCCTGGAAGAAGAAGGAAAAGCTCGCGCTGCTGCAGCACTGCAGCGCGCGTGCTTTGTGTGCAATAGAACAGCCAAACTGCGAATGTGGGATGCGCCGTGGCGTTCAGGGCTCAGAGTGATGCCCGGTGCAGATGCGAGGTCTGCAGCTCAAGAGCCTTGGCACAGGCACACTTTCAAGGAAGCTTTCGTGGGCTATGAGCACAAAGGCCCTTACGCCGTGGCTCAGAAGCTGCAGACCGGTATTGTAGATCCGCTGCTGCCCGAGCTCCGAAACATGAATCGTGGGTCAGTTAATTGACCAGTTACCAGTTCATCTTCAAAAGGCAAACCGCCCTAAGGCCGTGCCACACCACAGACATTGCTTGCTTCGGGTCGCCGTGCTCGCCATGTCGATCCGGAAGGCATCGTTTGGATGCTTTTGCCAGCGTCCGACTTGAAAGTCGACTATGCTAGCAAAGGCAAGAAGCAGAAAGCGTACAAACCGTGCCATGCGTGGACTACCACGCCGCCCATCAGGCCGGATTGAAAATCAAGCATGCTGCGAACACTCAATATCTTCAGCAATAGCTGGGCGGGAGGTTCCTCCAAGGACCGACCTCAGGCTGCAGTGTGGATTGGGATCTCGACCAGTTGAGCCCCCCAAAAACCCATTGCGTGTGGTAGACATGCTGCAGGAAGCCACTGGAACTTGCACTTGTGCGCCTTTGATTTGCCCTGCGCTCTTGCATGACATCTTGTCGTTGCTCGCGAGGCCGTGGCTCTGAAACTTTCCACGGACGGGACGTATCGTCTCATGCACGATAAGTACGTGCTCCTCACCATGGGGATCAATGTCAAGAAATTCCACGAGATCGAGCTTGTCGATCGCGCTTTTTCGTCGTCGTTCGTTCCAATGGCCTTTGCCATCGCATGTGTCCAAAGCGGAGACGCTTACAAACAGCTCGCGTCGGCAATGGCGAATGTGGTCCATCGCCTGGGTCATGACCTTCGTCCAAACCACAACTTGCAGTGGCACGGGGACCTTCAACGGCATTGAGGCAGGCAGTGGCACCGGGTGCTGCGAGATTGTCGGACTGGGCCCATGTCACGGGAGCAACTTCTACAGGCCCAGGCTTGTGTTGCCCGGGCTGCTTTCTAGGCTACCCTGCCAGAATATTCAAAAATCAACAATAAAGCAAAATCATATGCGTTGAAAAAGCGAAAACAAAGGATGCTTTCAAAAATGCAGAACTCAAAGCGATTGAAAAAGGGTGAAAGAAGCAGGAAAAAGCAAATTTCCAAAACCCTTACTCAGCCTTACTGAGTTATTATGTTTTTAAATTGAACTCCTATTTAAGCTGCTATCTAGCTGCTGTTTACTGGCTGAAGTTTCGGGATGAGCTGCTTTCTTTTGGTCCAATCGAGGCTAATTTGACTAGACTGTATTTTATAAATCGGATATCGGGCAATCCCTTACCGTTGCTCGCTGCTCGCTCTCCGTTCGAACTACGCAGGAGCATCATCGCTGCGAGGTGCAACAGATTGCGAAAGCACACCAAGACTTAGAATCGGTTCCTTGCCGCTACATATTGTGAGAAGGATCCCTATACACATACAGCCCCTTGAAAGAAAAAACCCAAGTAAAGCCGACATGTTTAACTTAAGCCTCCCAAACCCAATCGTTCAACCCGAGAACCCTCAACCCGTAAGTTTGGCACATGCCGATCGAATGCATGCTGTTCTGCACTGTTTTCAATCAAACATGTGCATATTGATTTGCTATTTTCCCTAAACCCTAAACTCCTAAACTCATGCAGCCACTCGCTGATGGCAGCGGTTGAAGGGCACATGCGCTGGAGGCGGGCCGTGTATTTAAACCGTATTCGGGTTTGGCGGCCTGGGATGCTGCTTGGGCGCTTGGCTCGGCATCTGTTTTTTTTGCTTTCTCGTGATTGCCTGCTGGGGTCCTGGCTCAGCACCTGCTTTAGTTTTGTTTTTTTTTATTGCTTTTTGGGCAGCCTGCCCTGGAGCGAGGAAATCTGCATTTTCCTAGAGATAAAGCAACGGAAAAAACAAAAATAAAGCAGCCCCACTGCTCTCTGCGGGGGTGGGGAATGGGCCAGGGCACGGGGCCAGGACCGGGGGCCGGCGCCGGGGGCCGGGACCGGGGGGGGCAGGACCGGGGGCCGGAGGCCGGGGCCGGGAGTTCTGCGTTTTAGATTCTGGATTTCGCTTTTTCGTTCATTGAACACATTGTAGATTGCACACCTGCCGACATTTCGGACATGAAGCACATGTACGCACACGCACACACACACACACACACGCACACACACTGCGTCATGAACCGTGTTGTGTTGGAAAGAATTGGTGATATCATGCATGAAGTATGAAGCCATGCGCCATGCGCCATGTTTTTTTTCAACAGGTCGGCTTCGTTGTCAATTTAATCCTTTTCCACCTCTGTGCTACTGCTACATTACAATTCGAATTTAGCCAAATTGACTTTTACAGCTACAATATCGGATACATTTTTGGTTGAGTTGTATTTATATAAAACCGAAATTGAAATAATGCAATAGTCCACCTCTGTGCCGCATTGGTAAGCTGCTGTTTTCCTACATTTCGTGTAGGGAAATGCAACTTTCAATGAGTGCCACATTGTCAACCTGCTTTACTCCTGCATTTCGTGTGGGTAAATGCAACTTTCAATTGTTGTTATTATAAGAGCGACCAAAAAACCACTTTTGTGCTACATTGTCAACCTGCTTTATTCCTGCATGTCGTGTGGGAAAATGCAACTTTCAATTATTGTTATTATAGGAGAGTGCAATTTTCAATTTTCGTGTTGGATTTGTCAATCTGCTTTATTCCCGCATTTCGTGTGGGAGCATGCAATTCTCAATTAATTTTATTATAGGACAGTGCACTATTGCACTTCTGTGCTAGAAACCTGCTTTATTCCTGCATTTCGTGTGGGAAAATGCAACTTTCAACTATTATACTTGTCAAGTTGCTTTGTGTTTTGCTTTATTTTTACTTTTTTGATTGGATTAGTTGTTGCTTTATTTTTGCTTTCTGAATATTACTAGTAGGGTAATCATTTACAGCCGCACCCGAGCAACACAAGCCAAGACGGCAAAACCAAGCTACTGCTGCAACACCTATCTCCCGAAAGGCGGCGGGACTTGCTTCCCTGCATCTTGCAGTGGTGTCACATTTCCAAGTTGATGCCCTGCGTCCTCTTCCACGTGGTCTGGACAAGCCTCTTTGCGTGGATGGAGGTGGAAGGCGATCAGGGCGCCGCGGCCGCCTTGAAGCAGGAATACTTTGCTGTAGACGAGGACCTCATTCAAGCACCATGGAGGTCCGCGCCGGATCGCATCATGCCCGGAACAGATGTCGGTTCAGCGCCCCAAGAGTCATGGCACAGGAGTCGCTTGAAAGTCCCATTGCAGCACAGCTGGAACCAACCATATACCCTGGCGCAAGCTCTGTCCAGCAAAGATATTGCAAAACAGCGGCGAGGCATTCGTGAGATAGCTGCGTCCACGCAGAAAACTTTCCAAGATTGGCCGACCATTGGTCAATTCACCGACCAGCACTCCCTGAGAAATGAAACCGCCCTTGCCAAAGAAGGTAGAACTAGCGGTCAGTCCCTGCTCTCTTAAACCCCAAACCCTAAACCCTAAACCCAAAACCCTAAGATCCTAACCCTGTTTCCAAAGCCCGACGGCATTTGATGCATCCCTGTGGGACTTCTTATCGCACTTGCGGCGTGAACCACGGCACTTTAGGCAACTTCTAGCCAAAAGCGTTGTTTCGGCAGGCCAGTAGGAAAAGCAGGAGAACGTGCCGAGTCTTTACACCTGCGTTTCAATTGTACTTCCAACGGACTTCCTTGTGCTGTTTTCGAAGGCACTCACTGGCAATCGCCCGCGCAACCGGGAAAAAACGTACTTCTGCCTAGACCCTACAATATGGTTTGTTTTGGGTGAGCTATAGTTTCTCACAGGATCCAGATAAACATGGAAATGCGCAGATCCACCCCCCAACCTAAACCCTAAAGCCCTAAGCCCTAAACCCCAGGATCCCAACCCTTTTCCCAAAGCCCGACGGCAAGAAACCCACACATTTGACGCATCCCTGTAGGACTTCCTATCGCACTTGCGGCGTGAACCACGGCACTTTAAGCAACTTCTGGTCAGAAGCGTTGTTTCGGATCGGCAGCTTGTTCCATGTTGCCTTCCAGTGGGTTCCCGTTTGGCAGGGCATGTCAGGCCTGTACCAGGAGAACGTGCCGAGTCCTTACACCTGCATTTAAATTATGATGTGCTTCCGACGGACTTCCTTGTGCTGTTTTCAAAGCCACTCACTGGCAATCGCCGCGCAACCGGTAAAAAAAGTGCTTGTGCCTAGACCCTACAGTGTAGTTTTTTTGGTGAACCATAGTTACTATAGTTTTCTCATAGGATCCAGATAAACATGGAAATGCGCAGTCCGCCCCCCACCCAGCACCACAAAAAAAAGGGGCCCACAAAAAAAGGGCCAAAAGAATTCTCCACCCAGCCTTCAATGCAGGTACGGCCTGCGTGGCGCTACAGCTGAACAGGCTTCTTACTGAGGGCCATGTACTGAGCAAGTTTTCTGAGGTTCACCTCCCTTGTTGGGTAGAAGGTTCACTGCTAAAAAGTGTGCACAGGCTGCGTGCTGTGCCAGTACACTTAGGCTTCTCACCGAATAGTGGCTCTCGAAGTCGAAGACTACGGAAAAATGTGGTGGTCGGACGATGGTGTTGTTGCTAGGCCCCCCGAAAGCAGTGATGCTACCATCTTGCTTCGCAATGCTTACATCCTCTTCTTTCGACCGACATCACAGCAGTAGCAGCGGAAGTCAAGTTTTGGTGCACTCTGCCTCTGCGTAGAGCAGTTTCAAGGCTTAGTGCTTGTAGGCTGTTTAGGAGCGGCTAAATCTGGATGTTTGGCAAAAGGCCATGCAGCTAAGTTGCCACGCGAATAATGCGTGCCTTTTCGCAAAGCGGACGTATTTTTTCTGCCGCGTGTGAGGTGAAATGAAATACTACTACTACTACTACTACTACTACTACTACCACTACCACTACTACTACCACTACCACTACCACTACCACTACTGCTACTACAACAACAACTACTACTACTACTACTACGACGACGACGACGACTACTACTACTACTACTACTCCTACTACTACTCCTACTACTACTGCCACTGCTACTGCACTACTGCTACTGCTACTGCTACTGCTACTGCTACTGCTACTGCTACTGCTACTGCTACTCTTACTACTACTACTACTACTATTACTACTACTACTACTACTACTACTACTACTACTAGTACTAGGATTCGGCTGGAGACCGCCGCAACGCCTTGCGCATTGCACCTTCCAGAACTTCAGCATATGCAGTGATGTGGGGTAAAGCTGAATTTCGGCGAGGGATGCGAGTCGGCGCAAAGCGTCGGCAGAGTTCCGACGTGTTTCAAACGAGTTGCGTCTCCTGCATGCTGAATGTCTGGACGTCTAACGCGCAAGGCGCACTTCGATCATCACGTGCAAACCTAGCCTCAGGTGCCTGACCCCAACATCGACAAGCTGCCGGAGGTGACTCGCTCATTTAATCTTTGATGGACCTTTGGTGGACGAAGACTTGATGCAGGGTATCATGAAAATCAGCGTGGATGAGCGGCAAGCCTTGTGCCACCCTCTGTCATTGCTTGGTGAGCTTGCAGTAGATCTCCAACTTTACCGGCGATGGGATGGTCCTGCCAGTCTGAGAGCGACGCAAGGGTCACTGGAGGAGGCCTTGGACAAGGCCTTGGGGGGGCAAAACAAGCGAGGGAGGACTTTGGATTCGAGCCTCTCCGAGGAGCTGCTTTTGCCGCCCGATGCGGATGGGAAGGAGGCGATTGCAGGTGTTGCAGTATCGGTGCATCCTTTGCGCTTTGGACAATTCGCATTTCGAGCCTCCAGGCCACCTGGCATGCAAGAGCTTTCGGCTCAAATTGCTTGGCTGTAAAGGACGAGCCCCTAAGGCCGGAGTGCCTCCAGGCCTGGACGGCCAGCAAGTTTAGGACAGGGCACCGTGCCAACGGGGCCAAACCGACCGAAGATGCTCTTTGCTCGATCCGTTGGAGCTCTGAGGCCGGGCGATGGCACCAAGCCTGAAGCGCTTGGCCACTCTGTTCCTGGTCCCTGTGCGCCTGGCGTCATTTCGCTTTCGGGATAGCTCCATTTGAAGCCTGCTCGACATGTTGGACACACGAAAGCTTCATGTGCCAGGTGCGCGTTGCAAGCGCCGGCAAGGAGGACTTTGCTCAGCACATCATTGGTTGGCAGTGAAGTTGAACGTTTCCGGATCTCGTGTTGCCCGGAAACATCCCCTGGAGGACATCGGCCAGTGTAGAGAAAAGGGCTCTGGCCAGTCCTGCAATGCAAGAATAAGCGAGGACGGATCAGACAGCTGCTTGTCTGGGTAAGTTTGCTTCAATCCACGAGCAAGACTGTAGCTAGAGCTTGCGAGGCTACTTTGGCTATCTGCTGCTCGGCAGCCAGGTTGTCGCAAACGCCACGGCCGTGTTTTGATGTTGTAGGTGCTGAGCGCTTGTTTAAGGTGGTCTATCATGTCCAACTCGAAGGACACACCCTACTGAGTAGCTTGATTCTGCGCTTTGATGCGGCTGTCTTGACAGTCTTCGTCTGCCTTCGCGATCAGGATGCCGTGAACGGCTACGAGGGACGTTTTCAAGACGAGTCCCTCACAGAGCGGACCACAACAGATGAGTACTACGACCTGGCCACTGACTTTTACCTGTATGGCTGGGGCTCGTCGTTCCACTTCGCGACACGCTTCCTTGGAGAGAGCCTTGAAGACTCCATCGTCAGGCCTGGCACGGAAGGGATCTTAGCTCTTCCCGCCTTGGCCTCCATCTGCCGCAGGAGGGTTGTGATGACGCGAGTGCTTCATGCTAATTCTTGTACTCGCGGCGGCTGCGTTCTTCCGTCCTTGGAACCTCTCCTGTGTTTGCAAGCAAAACTAAATTAAAGAGAATGAACCGCAGGCCCCTAGAGGGTTCTCGAACCTTACTCAAACACAGAGCAGGACCGAACCTGTGCAATAACAATGAGCATTGAGAAAAGATGTCACAGCGGAATCAATCGGGCACCTTCACTAGTGAACTTGGCTCCGGAAGCCTTGACACTTGGAGGGGGAGGGACGGCTGTGATCTCCTGTCTCCGAGTCGACGGCTTTTCGCCAATGTTTTCAAGATGCCTATGACAGGCATGAACATTTCCTAGCAGCGAAGCTGGGGCTCAAGCCTGGGTTCAAGGCCGGCGAAAAGCAGAGACCAGAGCAAGTTGGAGTGTCCCGCCTTTGAGGTAGCTGATCTCGGCATGGGTGTTGGAGGACCGTTGAGGTGTCCTGGCAAAGTGAGCATAATTGGCCACGACCAGTGCTGCACCAGAGATTTGGAAGGTCCATACAGAAATTCAGCAACGCCGATGTTACGGGTATCACAATCAATGATTATCAGGCCAGGGGGAGTGCAGGGTTCATACTGCTGAGTCGCTCTTGGACTGTGCCCCTGGCAGGTTCGCCGCGCAAAAAAGTTCACGAAAAAAGAGTGCAGCTCTGCCTCAGCAAGCCACATAGCATCCGGGCAGCACAAGGGCTTCTTTTGTATCTATGTTGCAGCATGTCGTAGCTACTATATTATGCCCCACGATCTTTGGCTCTCCAAGGAGTACAGGCAAGGAGACTTCACCAAGCTAGTTCCTGACGTGTTTGCGCCGGAGCGCCTGAGCATCGCTTGAGAACGGTCGAGCAGATGGTAGCCTTCGGCTCATCGTCAGGAGTCTCTCGATGCAGTCTACTACATCGAGTCTTCCTGCCACATAGCAAACCGTACAGCATCAGGGCTGCAAAAGAGACTGTGTGTGCAATCTGCTGGGATTCCAGTTGCCTTCCTGGCATCCCAGGAAGTCTTTCTGGAGTCAGCCAAAGCCTTAAAGAAAGGCGGCAAGCTCTTTTCCTACGAGTGGCCAGGATGCAATGTAAACAAGTGAAGTAGCTTGGAGAAGCGCCAGCGGCTAGCAGACAAATCGTTGGGATCTGGAGCAGGTGGGTCATGACAGACCGTTTCAATCCCAGTGATCCCGAACACCTGGCGATCAAGAAAGGGATTCAGATCGGTGACGGCATAGAGGCACTCGTTGCTTTTCCAAGAGTTTTTGTGCAGAACCGGCTGTGCTGTCAGAGAGGAGCTCGTGGGAATCCGTGGTCCATTACAGGGCCTGAACAGAAGCGGCTTCCGAATCCTGGAGCATGGCCAGTTGGCCGCGCTTAGCCCAGCCGCCAGCTGTAGCTGTCTTTGCTGCTTGAGCTCAGGTGACTTAGTCGATCTGGCGGAGGCCAAGCCTGCATCTACGGTTCACATAGCTGTGCAAGAAGACGAGACATGCCTGCAGGAGTGGTACGGCGATCACAATGTGCCATGGTATTTCGAAATGGTGTGGGGCACAGGTGCTGAGGGGCCGGGATTTGAACCTATAGCAAGACCGCTACCTGAGGCACAATTTTATTCATTCGCCTCCTTCAGATCCTTCGCGTTATCCGAATTTGGGCAGCGCGCCCTGGGCACGCTCTTGTGGCTAGCCGCCCAGGCCAGGCTGCCCCAAGCGAGTACTCTCTGTCCACAGTGTTCTGGATCCCAATCCCAATTTTCTTTTCCAGTTTTTGCCGTCAGTTGCAGGTCGGCCTGGTGCCGGAAGACGCCTCCAAGACCGAACAGATGCTTCGGCAGGCGAGCATCAACCTGGTCAAAGGTGGTGTCTCAGCAGCATTCTCGAATCTTCTAGAAGAAGAGCGTTTAAGTGTGTTTGGGCTCTGCCAGGTGAGCTGAAGATCTTCACTCCCATGTACTACATCGTGGCAGAGAAGGTTTAGCTAGGACGGGCTACGTAGGCATGCGAAATTTGCGGGTCGCGCCGCTAGTGCCCGAAAGTGCCTGCAGTTCGTTTAAACGGTCTACAAGGGCGCAGGTCTCTGGACCATCCCGGTGTCACTTGTTTTCCACCGTGGCACCCGCCTTTTGGAACCAGCACATCTTGCATTTTCCACTTCGCGGTGGCTGGCGACAGAGAAGCCTCAGACAATATGAACAAATCGTGCTTTGTGCCGTCACATATCGTCACATGCCGTGGTTGCGTTGCGGGGTCGGTTTCTGCAGGCCTTGCCACAGGCGTGCTTTATTGCACATCCGCAGTTGTGCGGAGCTCGGAGGCTTTCAACAATGGTGGTGAGTGTCCGTGCATCGATGAGCGCATGACCGACCTCCAACATGGCTCTGACGGGGAAGCTTAGCAAGGACCCTTGAGCCGTTGCTTTAGGCATAAGAGGTTGACTTACGGGACAGCTTTGCCACTTTGCCAGGGTGTCTTTTCAACACACGCAGCCACTTCAAAGACATAAATCCAGGGGCTTGGGGCTCATGGCATCCAAAGCCTCACGACAGCCATGCAGAGCACTCTGGTCTTTGCTCCTTGTGGGCTGTGCCATATGCCTTCGCTGGGAAGCTGCTTTTTGTGGGTCCATCAAGCCTGCAAGGGTGATGAGAGGGATGGCCACTGCTTCAAGGGCGGCAAATGGCTTCATGTTCTTCAACATGCAGGGCTCCGACAAAGAGAAGTTCGTTGTGGGAAAGATTTTTCCAAAGGTCAGAGATATGAAGAATGATTTTTCAGCCTTAGAGTGGCAACCGTTAGATTCCAGAGGGACGCGATATTTCAATGCCATGGATCCAAACTGTGCAAATTACTATGCAGCTGCCAAGCTTGACTCGTGGCCCTCTACCAGGCAGGAAGAGTGGAAGTCGAGAGGTGGTCGAGACTTCAGCTACAACAATCGGTTCCCTAGGTTCCAATCGACAGCCCTTAGGTCTTAGGCATCTTTTTCTTTGAATGTTGGGACCAGATGTGCAACGTCCATCCCAGGAGATGACAAGGTTGCGGTGACCTTCATGGAATTTGTCCCACCAGAAAAATTGGAGCTGAAAGCTGGAACAGTGGACATTGCTCTGTTGCAGCCAAGTGCTGCAACAGACATGGGGAAGAAGCTCTACCCCCTCATTTTCCGTGAGACGGCACGTGTTCTGAGGCGTCAGGGCCAATTCTTGGTATTCACCGCCTCATCTGAGAGCTTGCCTGAGACAGCAGAGAATTTTTTCGAAATTGAGGAAGAGTCAAAGGACAATCCGGACGGAGTTACCTATTATCTGTTAACTCGCAAAGCGAGGAAGAAGAAAAAGCAGGATGAAGCCCAGAAGCCTCGGCGAAAAGTCTTAGGCTTCACCCTGAACGAGTTGGAAGACGCCTTGGACGACTAGCTTCGAGGCGACCCGAGGCATTCCAAGTGTGCTGCAAAGTGCGGACAAAAACGGCTGTGTTTGTGCCAATGACCTTGGGCCGAGAATTCGCAAGAGATGTCACAGCTCGAAGCCGAGGCACAGATATTTCTCCGAGTTTCATCCTGCGATTAGCTGGCTGATAACGTGGCGAGCTTGTTTCCCTTCGTGCCCGCTTTTGCACGTCCATGCAGCCGTCCTCTGAGGAAGCAGGTGCCTACAATCATCATTGGTGCATCTGATCCAGATCCATCCTGGAAGCAGGCCGCTGCACATCTTGCACAATCTAGCTGACATTCCCGAGCATGTTATTTAGTGCATGCTGCGACGAGGACGAGCAGCTGCTCAGAAAGCTTGGTGCTGAACTCGTTGTGCAAGCCTCACGGTGTGCTCTTGATTCTGTTTTGTGTTACATGGAGTTTGGGATGTCATGTTTCGCGGTGGTCAGGTTAGTAAGCGGGAGAGCCCGTATCCGATGTGCCTACCTGGGAACTCAAAAGTGAAGAAATGCAGCCGTTGCCTCAGTGAGCCAAATGCTGAAGTACATAAACGCTGAGAAAGGATTATTTGCTTTTGATGCGAAAGAAGGTCACATCATTGGTTTCCGTGGAGGAAAGGCGACTCCGGTGGCAGTGAGATGTATCTCCGCTAGACTACCGTTGTGCAAGAATGTAGCTTCAAGCAAAGGCGATCGAGCGCGACAAGCTGATGAACGCTGGGTGCTTCAGCAAGTCCTCGCATGCTGGCTCTGGCCCGCGTCTTCAGTCCAGCTGATATTCTCCGTGTTCGGGTTAATTGAGGTCAAGCTGGAGCTGCTGGCACAGGAGTACAGCGTGCGGTAGCTGGACCTTCGTTCACTTGCTCTCGCAGAGCGAGACCGTCAGCTCAACAGCGCAGCGGACCTGGACCTGCAAGCAGGTCGCGTAGGAGATCCAATGACTCGAGAGAGCCTTGACGCGACGGCGAGCGCATGCCGTGGACGAAAGCATGCAAACACACCCTGTTTTGATGCCTGTGATTTGAGACATTCCACGTACACGACTGGAAGCAGCTGAGCCACTGCCGGGACCTGTCACTGCTCAGACTGGATGAGGGGTGTGGTGGCTGCGGGCTGCTGCTTCCGAGAAACAGCCGCGTGGCCGCCTGAGCGATTCCTCAGCAAATGGCTCTCCTCCTTGTGGGTCGAGCAATGCGGAACGGTTGTCAGCCGAGACTTACAGCGGCGAAGATGAGTCTGAGTCCTGCCGAGCAATGACTTTCTCCCATGGTTTTCGCCTCATCGGCACGAGAGAGAATGAATCATGCGATGCAGAGCAGCGCACAGCTCGAAGAGATCTCCAAGGTCTGTGTTCCAGCAACAAACTGCCGTCATGATGTTGAATGGCCAATGCCTCGCACCTTGCAATGCTTTTCAGCAACCGTCCTGGAGTAGAAGACACAGGCCGAAGTAACTGAAGTTGGCTTCATCTATCAGTGCAGGACTAAGCGAGGTCTCAGTATTTCCACTCTATAAAGATTGATAAGCTTGCAGCATGGCATTGCATGGTCGCGCATGTCACAAGTCCTGAGGTGCGTTCTCTGCGGATCCTTTGCTGCGGTGACCCTAGCTATGACCAGTCTGACGAAGCCCAGTTCTTCACGAACTGTCCGCGGATGGGGCACCTCCGAGGTCTGGGTGGTCGATGCTCTAGAACCCGCAGAGGCTTGCTTGTAAAGAGGGTCCATGTGCATAACATGCCATACAAGCGTCAAACGCATGAAACGCTCAGTTTGCCAGGTGTCCCACCGGGCCAGTGCTCGAAGTGTCCCGACACGCAGTGCAGCGGCGTAGCAAGCGTCCTGGAGGTGCTTTGCATCTTTGAAGGTACAGGCCAAAAGGTGCTCCAGAAGGATGTGGGGCTCTCATTCAAAGTGTGTGGCAATCAGTGGAAGCTGGAAGCAATACCTCTCGAGAGAGGTCCATGCTGCTGAAGAAGCGCTGCTGGAGGACATGTCTAAGCGGGAGACAGCCACTTCAGCTGTTACAGGTATCATGCATTCTGCAGAGACTTTCATCCCTTTTACATATATGTGTTGAAGGACATCCAGAAGCGTTTGTCCATGGGCAAGGCAGGATTCGCCAAGTCTTTGACTTTTTGCTTTAGCCTTTCTTGTAGGACCAAGCTGAATCTCCTTGCGCCCTTCTTCCATGCACCGCGGCCTGAGATCTCAACGATTGTTCCAACGACGCGCCTAACGGATGCACAAGTCCTGGTTCTGCACTCTTGGGTTGGACATGTCTCTTCAGATCTGCGAGGAGCATGCTTGTGTATTTCCTGCACTACCTGCGTGCATGTTTGGCCCATGTCCATCAATATGCTTCCGAAAAACGAAGCTGCAATCTGTGAACGATAACCAGTCCGTCATGAAGCCCACTGGAGATCATTCAGAAGGAACCCCTGTAGTGACACAGTCGTCTTGGCCCCATTCCGACCCAAACATTTGAGTTGCGCCTTGCGCCAGTCGTGCAAAGTTCTGCATAGGCCGTACGCAAGCCACATGTGGCCACATACACTTGCAAATAACCTACGAGGATAGCCTGTCCTCAAATTCGAAGCCAAGGCAGTACATGCATTGAGATCTTCGAGGGCAAGCTCTTCATGCAGTGGCTGGATGATAGGCTTTGACCTTACTCGAACGTTCACGCTTCGTGCCGATTCTTGCACAGAGGGCCAACTGCGAACGGCCTGTTGCATTATGTCCTCAGATCGCTTTGGCCCCGGCATGGCGAGGGTGCTTTGTTGCGACAGGCCGAAGTAGTACTCTGAGGCGGTGTCCTTTGAAGCTGACGAAGCACCTCCGGCGTATGTTCGCAAGGCGCAAGATCCGCTCTTTTGCTGATGCTTTGTGATGTGTTGCACCGTGCCTTGCGAGGCAGGCAAGTGGTCCCTGGCCCAAGGGGTCGGTCCCAAGGACGGTTCGGCAGAAACAGCGGTCGGAGACTCCCGTGTCAGTCCAGGACTTGGAGGTGAAGCTTCCGTTTCAGCTGCCAGCCGGGCAATTCAAGACTTTGATCTGAGCTTAGCAAGCACCGACTTCAGGAACCTTACATTCGGAGACCTGTTGTGAAGTGGTTTGCTTAGATTGCCCCCTGTGGTGCCGGCTTTGAGACCACCCTGCTGGCAAAAGAAGAGTCCACGGCCAAGCTGCAGTTGCCTTGTTTGATTTCAGAGTTCGGAGCCAGGGTTCTTCCATTGACACTTCGACAGCAAGGGGAGAGGGGTTAAAAAAGAAACGAAATAGACATCAAAAAAACTAAATAGACATCAAAAAAGAACTACATAGGCATCAAAAAAAACCACGTGGGTATCCCGAGAGACTGACAGAAAGCCAGAAAGACAGAAACAGCAGAACGACAGAAAGAAAGAAGGAACAAAAGACAGAAGGAAAGAAAGAAAGAAAGAAAGAAAGAAAGAAAGAACGCATGAAAGATAAAGAAAGAAAGAAA